ACAATTAGGTGCTTATGAGTTTTGCAGATCAAATGGTGATTGGTAGCTTGGGATAGGAGAGAAGACCATTCCTACAGATTTAAATAACAAGGCTACTTGAGCCATCTTCGACTCCTAGGTACCTTTTCAAGGTTGAATGCGCCTTGGTTGATAATTTCATTCTGCAGCACATCCACTACCTTCGATTTCTGTCCACTCACAGAGTTTAGTACAGGATCTCTGTAACATATAGATTCGCATGTACAATAAGGTACCCTTTTAGTTCCGCAAGTATCTGAACTGACTTGACAAATGAATAAAAACGAAAACCTTTTCACGGGCAGTTCAACCCGCACTTTGAAGGATGGCGATTCTCTCCTTGATCGAGCAAAATCATCCGAACAACCCACATCCACACGAGCACCAACGCAACCATTGATATCGCTAAATGTGTAAGAAATGAAGAAGTATCAGACCTGAAAAACTATTAAGAATGGTGATGATTCAAAAAATAGTATAGGTGGGAGGTGCATGCACCTGCACCCAACATCTGAAAAAGCTGCCCTATCAGAGTTTTGGGAAACCCGCTCTCTCACCGCATGTGAATTCGTGGGCTTACATTGACTGATATTTTTAACATTCCTGGAGTTTATCTCCGAAGAAGTAAAAGTTGCACCCAATTACGCGTTCTTTTCACAAAACTTTTCTCATATTGAAAAGCATCTCGATGATTTCTGTAGGCACCTCGTGACTTACTGAATCTACTCACGTTAAGGAACAGATGTCCCATTTCTGATTTATGGAATGAATACTAGCTAGGAGGCGCATGCGCAATGCATCACGGCTGGCTTCTGAGCATGGTGACGATCCCGGATAAGATACTCGCATCAGCATCACACGTGTAGCCGGTACTGACCTGAAAGCAAAAAGAAACAGTCAATTCCTTGCGAACTTACGAAGGAAAGGCTTTGTTTCCAGATGCAATGACAATCCACCCACTTGGTGCACTGCGGATAGCGGAATATCAACTGATTTCGAAGGCGTGGTCTCCACATTCCATCTGCAGCACAGGTGTAGAAGATAGCGGGTGGTCGCGAAAACTCGTAACCATCGCGGCACTCGATCGAACAAGCCTAAATTTCAATTTGCAGCAGCATAAAACTGATAAAAAACGAAGAGGAGAAGATAGTCAAGGTCGAAGTTTCTCATCCAACAATTTCAACTCCGAGATTTGAAAGGATTTCAGATAGAAATAAGAAAAAATTCAAAAATTGAGGTGCATTCTGTGAAAAATAATCAGAGGGTTCGAATTTGACGAAGAAATAATTACCTTATACCGCAGCTGTGGTCCCCAAGATTCACATGCCTGTACGCCGTTTACAGGTTCCTCCAGCTGTGGACAGTGTTCCCGTGATACATGGACCTTAAAAGAAAACAAAAATACTTAAAGAATATTACAGAAGAAATCAGCGAGAACTGAGAAATGTGAGAGAGCTTTGAAGAAATCAGAAAATCCTTCGTAAATATTGACATATCAATACACAAGTTTTATTCGGCTATCACAAGTTACTAAAGTGCTTATTAAAAGTGATGGTCAAATGGTTAACAAAGTTCGAGTTTGAACTCACCTTGAAACTACATTCAGCCGTATTCGAGGCATTGTCCTGGGCAACGTAGAGAACATCATACTCACCCCATGTGAACACCTAAATATTGTTCCGTATACATTCGCTTTGTTACTTCGAGGCTAATGCTGTGAAAGTGGGTGTCACTGTATGTAGCTATGTATAGCAACACGCTCGTGCTGATCAGAAAATATCGGGAACCGTGAAAAAGATTCGACAAAATCATAAAATGAGTGGTTTTTTACCTGTCCTTGTTTGAAGTTCATCTGAATCTTTTTTAGCATGTTGTCGGATTGGAATTCGGGTTCTGGCCATGTAATGTTTACTTCTCGTTGTGATGATAGCACAAATTGATCAGCGGGGCATTTCTAAAAATGGGATTAATTACATTCCTTGATTCGAGGAAGCTTTCTCAAAAAGTAGTTGTTTGTTTGGTCGACAATAATTTTAAAAGGATAAAGCATACACAACATACACAATTAAAAAACAAGCCCAAAGTGGCTAAGGTTCTTATCAATCACAACCATTCCCTATACGCATCTTCTCTCCATTTCACCTCATCCCCTCCATGATCAGCCACAGGCCTACCTCGACTTTAACAGCGGCTTCTTCTCGCCTCTTTCGTTTTTCACGTCCACAAGTGCTGCGTGGTATCCTCTCCACTTTTCCATTCATTTCTGTGTACCCACTGAATCGTAATAACAAACCGTCAAATGCAACCTGAAAAACCGACAAATATCTAGATCATAGAACAGTTTATACAGTTCAAAATTCCTGACACTTACTTCAGTACCGTGGCAGCTAACCACCATCATGGGTATCTCACTATCAAAGTCCAACACACGATTCCATGCATAAACACGGGTAACTGATCCGGCAAATGAACTTTCACTAGGACGAGTGCTGCCCAAGGTGATTAATGCGCTGAACGGTCATTGATTACTGAATATTAATTCGACATCCGTAAAGAGAAAACCCAAGATGACAAAGAAAAATGGGGATGACCTCTAGTTTTCAACTTACTTCATATCCACTTCCTGTCCAGTACCATAACCCGAACCAGCGAAAATTCGTACAGAATTCCAAATCAATGAGTAAACGCCACGCTCTGAAGACCAGGTGAGAGCCTGAAATGGTACATTGAGCGAATTTACGTTTACTCTCAGATAGTTCTTCGCAATCAACTATATAAAGAAGCTCCTGGGGCATTTGCTGACCGTTAGCTGAAAGGGGAAGTTTCGATTTCAGGGAAGGTTGACGTTCTCCAACTAGAAGCAACTTTTGCTATTCCGATGCATGATTAAGGAAAGATAAGGTAGAAGGAATGTCCCATGATTACCAATCCATAACACATGTACAATAGCCGCTACATTAAATGAACAATTTAATATTAATAAAGCAAATTATTACCAGATGATTCCAGGAACCACCATTGATTCCTTGATTTGTAGGAAAATGAAGCCGGAGAGCTGTTTCATTAGGGAACAAATCAATATTGATGCCTTCCGAATCCAGGCGTAACACTTCTGCTAGATCGGCACTGTAGTTGGCTTGGCTAAAAAAATCAGAGTCGAATTATCGTGAAAATTTAAAAATTATACAAGCTATATTCACAGTTACATTAGGAAATAGTTCGGAAACATTAGGAAGTTCGGAGGATCTCAAGAAGTGAAGACTTGATGATTCACCTGCTACTATACATAGTCAACACCGTCCCTTTGGTTTGGGCTTGGTCGAATTTTACCCATAGAGATAAGGTAAGTGCCTTTGCCACGATTTGGAAAGGTAGTGCCAACGATGCACTTGCAGGTCGAAGCGAGTCAAAGAAATGCAAATCGTAGTCTTCATCAATCATCTGAAGAAATCTTATGATTCTGGGAACTGGAGAGACGGCTGTCTACTCACCTTGTCACAGTTCGTCCCAGTCAGATTGAACGGACACCTACAGTATGCCGAATTGATCTGATCGATGCATGTGGCTCCGAGCGGGCATGGTGAGCGAGCACAATCGTCTATATTCGTTTCACAGTGCACACCGGTGAAGCCTAGAAAAAGAGGAACTCCGCAAAGGTCTGAGAAAGCTAATACCCAACTAAAGTCGGTGTGGTGAGAATGAAAATGAAGAAAGCAGATCCTCAAAAGTCGACTCAGGGGACGGTAAGATATGTAGCAGATGGGGTAGTCAGTTTTAATCTCCCAGTGTGTTTTGTGACCAAAACAGAAAAGCACTCTAATTGGAGAAATTATTAAAACGGAATTGAACCTCACCGGGTTCACAACCGCACTTGAATCCACCATCAGATGTTCGGTTGCAACGGCCACCATTCAAGCAGACAGATTCCGCACAAGCATCTTGTAAATACTGGCAACCTGAAGATAATCACTCAAGGGTTTTCAGCATCAAATAGAGCTCAGACTATACGGTTTCTAAAGAAGTGCTTCCTTACCGGCTCCTGTGAACTTCTTCGGACAGCTACACTCTTGACGTGATCCAAAGTCTCCACAAACTCCGCCATTGAGACAAGGTTCACCAAGACACCGATTCGGCGCGATTTCGCAGTTCTTTCCGCTAACACCTGTGTAGAAGAAGTATATAACGATGGATCACTCATATAAAATTTGTCAACAATAATCTTGAAGAAGCGAAACAAAAAGCCAACCTTCCGGGCATACGCAGAAATAGTCAGCAACCAAATTCACACAACGACCATCGTTGCGACAAGGTTTCGCATCACAGCTGCCAGTCTCTTGTTCACAGCTAAATTGGTCGGTATAGCTGTGGATTGGGAGACGATTCAAAAAGGGGCACTCCACAAAACGAAATAAATGTTCAAAATTGCTCCAAATACAAAAATAGAAATCAGTCAGAAATCTCACGTTTCTCCTGTCCATCCGTTCGCACATTCACATCTATACGAACCGCCTTCATCGTAGCATGTTCCATTATTCATACATGGAGACGATGCGCACTAAATTACATTTTAATGTAGGAATCGATAAAAATGGCAAATCAGCAGCTGTCATTTACAGTTTACTAACCTGATCAATTCGCATTTCGCAGAATTCTCCACTATAACCTGGCTTGCATACGCAGGTGAACGAATTGATGCCATCCTCGCACGACTGAAAGACACATCATGAATCTTGAGGGCAACAAAATTCTTAAAAACCCGATACCCTCGAATTTCATCTCGCTCAACTACCTAATTCACAGCGAGAACGGCTTACTACAATGTTTTCAGAACGGGTTTACTGTATATTTTACGAGCCATCCTTGAAATAACCCAAAAATGAATTCAGAGAAGAGAGCCAAATACTACGTGTTCACAACGGCAAGACACATATATCGAATGAAATAGGTAGTAAATAGAGTGAAGAGAGCTTTTTTTAGAATCAAAATCACCTCAGTTCCATTGCTATCACAACGTCCTTGAACACATTCGTCTTTATTGTGTTCACAATGGGTTCCATCAAAGCCTAACGGGCAAGCGCAATGATATGAAGGGCCGAGATTTGTGCAGGTAGCTAAAACCCTCAAATTCGACTGGAGAATAAAATTTATGTCATACATCGATACTAACAGAATATACTAACCATTGTTTCTGCATGGAGATGTGGCACAATGGTCGACAACATGTTGACAGTGCACGCCTCGGTAGCCGGCTGGACATGAACAGGAGAATCCAGCAACCTAAAATGTAGACCAGTAAATGCAGTGATATTTTTCTAGTAGGATTAAGGCGGAGGCTTGGTGGTGTCTAATGAAAATGTAAGGCATAGGCTTACCGCTGGCACCCTGGGAAAATGGAGACAAATTGGCATGTGAGCATTTTACACTACATGCACGACTATGTATCACTGTGTGCGACCCTATGGTCCAACCATGAAGGGCCTTCTTATCGAAATGAAAATACCTAATATTCAGAAGAAATACCATTATTCAAGGAGAAGAAATAAGCTCTACGGAAATCTCAAAGAAGGACCTCATCGGTGCATGTTCCACCATTCTGGCACGGTTGTGAAGCGCAGTCATCGATGTTTTCATCGCAGTTCTCTCCGGTCCATCCTTCATCGCAAATACAACTGCGAGCAAACAGAGTATCCACACATAATCCATGTTCACAAGGTGCCGATGCGCATAAATCTTCTGAAAAGTAAGATTTACAGTAATCCTAACCTATTTTCGGATCAGCTTCTCATATTACTCTGTAACTGAATGATCCATCTTTTCATCTAAGCGCCTAAAAACCTCAAAATTCATTATCATATGCCAATAAGAAGAAGCCATACGGTGGAAGGTACCTCAAGTAGACAGGAAAAACTCAATGTACGCCTCACTTAGAAAATCGCACCAGAATTTACCTACCACATACATCGGTTTTATTTACTGTACTATATTTTGGTGGATACTGATTATCGCCATTATTCACTATGGAAGTACATAAAAATAATCTTATATCATTAAAAAAAGCGGTACCGAGAATCGTTTCAATGGTTTCCTGACATTGTGGTTAAATATACGGGAATTCCACGTTATTTTAAGGCCTTGGTGACATAATCACTACAGATCATCAAGGGTCAGACGTCATGTGAGGAGGACATCCATGCGACTTTGTAATGACCATTGTACCAAGTATGGTTATTGCCGGAGTCCCTCGGGGCGTCAAACGCACGCCAGGACTGCCGCCAACGCGATGGCCAGACTTCTTCACGAAAACTTTGAACAGAAAGCCTGCTTCGGGTTCCGTGAGCGAGTACGATCCATTGAACAGCTCTGGCTCGGGACATGGTTGAATAAAGTGTTAGTGTCGCTCACCCAAGAAAATGGGCGATCAACGGGAGGATGTATGTGAAGTCTCATCAGAGTAGTGAATAAACATGATGAAGAAAAGCAAAGGTACAGGCTTTATTCTAGCCAAAGTCCTTCAGTTCCCTCATATCAGTCATGCGGGATAAGTACCGCATATCATAAGCATGCCTCATCTAAATGAAAGGCATCATATTGTGCGCTATTTCCCCATTGAATCTTATTTGTCAACGAAATCTGAGAAACCGGAAGTTACAACGAGCGTAAATCTCAGCCCTTCAATGAATAATGAGAGCCCTTTCACTGCAGTCGTTCCCTCTACAGGCTACCAACAAGTGCCGCTGCATAAATGTCAATTCAATGGCGCCCCCGCACTTCCACTGTTTTGCAGGAACGCGAAAGGTACCGCCCAATCAGCTGTTTTTCCACTGCAAAACCTATAAAAGAGCCATGAAACTCGGCAACTGAAGCAACTTGATTGCAATTGAACTGAAAGAAAAAAACCGGAACCGTAAGGTTTTCTTTAAACTATACAGGACTAGAAGAGGGTGCGTCGCAGCTCTCGAAGACGATTTAAACGACAGGTCACGAGTAAGGCTTTTACTAATCGTCGCCAAAGCTGCGCTGACATAGTGTTTATTTGTCGAAGGAGTAACCCAAGGGGGTAATGCGTCGGATAATCTTCTGTACAGGTGTGATCGTTGACAAAGGGCTTAGGAGGACCGGCTTGGCTGTACGAAGTTCGGATTTTTTTGAGGTAAGACGATTCTGGTATCTCGTGTGCTTACATTCCTTACGACACGAGATAACAGAATCACCGCTCCTACGTACAAGGATTCAAACTCCACACGGGCCAGCCGGTCCGCTAAGGAGGCAAGGTTACACCCGAGTAGGCCTTTGTTTTTCATTGTTTGAGCTAATACTGTCAATCAAAAATCCTTGATGGAATGGTAGTAAATTCTGCGTAATCTAGAGATAATATGAACGTGTAGTCCTACCAATTTCCTCTCCTAACATGAGTGGACAGTTATTCTACACTGGTGGTACTTTACTCGATTACCTACCCATTGAACGAGCGCCACCACGTATCCCTCTCCAGACTTCTTGACTAATGCTGCTATCTACCAAGACAACTGCTTTTTTCGCATACAAAAACGCCGCTGCACAATGATTTCGGCCGATAAATGACATCCAGAAAAACAGAGGCGGTCGAATTAATACCTCTACAAACAAAGAGGCCAACATACTTATTTCCAGTCCTAACATTTAATCTCATATCTCCCATTCCACGCAGTTATCTCTTCAGAAGAGTTCTAATTCATTTTGTCCGTGGGAGAAGGATAAGGAGTGAACATCTTACAAGGTCACCAGCGCTGTGTTGTATGGGATTTCACAGAAAATCATAATTATACACTTACTTTCACATTCAGATGCTCACAACACACTCAGGAAAGAAGGGCAGGTTACTTTAATTAACTAGAACACATCCTAAATAATCTATATAGCGACAAAGAAATCCTTATGCGCATACGCGAACTCTAGAGTAGAAAACTCTTGACGGCCGGACGGTCGCGGCAGCTGAAGACAGTCCAAATGATTCCTTCTCTACTAAAAACTAAGGCTCTACCTATACGGCTGGATATTCAAATTCTGAAAATATGACGCAAGTGTTGGTCCATATTTACATCAACAGCAAGCACGATTACACAACGCGCACAGCTTTCTTCCCAATTTCTGTTCCCAGAATAATTTATCAAGCACTATTTTTTTCTGTTTACAGTTCTAAAATTTCTTTTACGCTCCAGTTCTTCTATTATCTGGGCTGGACTGCTATTTATTTCTAGAAATCCATCCCAGAGAAGTCTGGTGAACGACTTCAACTGCGAGGAACCAGTTTCGACAGGCCTTGCGAGGCTCAACGGCGAGAACGCCTAGTGATTGGTAGCGATTGCGAATAAGGGTCGAGCTTGAAAATCCTTGCTGCACAGCGGTCAATTCCCTCATTCATTAGGATCCGGGAAATATGGCAAATGAAGGGTTCGGAGACGAGCATGAGAAAGTTACACATATATCAAGTGACGCCAATCCCCTCCGTCCATTCTTCACGAACTGCTCCCGCTTGACCTAACAGATTTGTTAGCCAAGGCCAGCGATCTACGTCTTTTCATAGAAAGTAAGACTATATTGAGAGAGCTCAAATTGGGTTGGATGTGAGGATCAGTCGGATAAATCTGACACCGAAGGCTTACAATCAGAGACGCCACTTTAATTTGCAGAAATGTTGAAGCGGAAGGGTTTGCAGAGGAATTTTTTTGCTCCAATCCCCGAATGCTAATGCAATTGCCCACGCTCTAATTCTGCTACTTGAGTTTTTCTCGTTTCCGGAGAAACTCAATTCAATGCTTCGAGTGCTTCGAATCCTGCTCCTTTCAGACAGTGAAGGACTTGTCACCCACCAGCATTACGACTCGTTCTACAGTAGTTATGAACAAATTCTTGTCAATCCCAAGTTAAAACGAAATGCCAACATAAAACCGCCAATATAAAATAAAAAACAAATGAAATAAATAACAATAAAAAATACCACGATGTTCAACAAAACTTCGAGCTAGGAACGATTAGGCCCCTGAAAGGAAGATGTAATGCCATCCGAATACTAAAGTCAATCAAGGAGTGACGAAAGCATACTCGCACCATTCACTCCCATGGTACTATACTCATTCGGGCGCAATCAAAGTAGCACGAAGAACTACCCTCCATTGAATGACACGAATTCTTCAATGCTAATGGACATATACAATGAAAATACGGGACTAGAGGCTTTCTTCAACGTCAACAGCGCAATACCTCGTTTCGAGCAAAAACTCGCAAACATCAGGGAGTCAGTAAAAAAAGCCAACAAACCTTTGACATTACAACGCTTTCCTTTGAATCCTTTGGGACATTTACATTCATAATCGTTTACCAGATCGACACACGTCGCATTCAGTGCACAAGGTGAATCAGCACAATCATCTGAAAAGTAAGAATTAATTTTAAGATGGCATCAAAAAACAGAGCTTCATTCATTATGTAGTTCTTCATGTCGACAAAAAAATTGAAACTAATGGCTCAAAATAATATTCTTTCAAAAAAGGTAAGGGACCTTTGAAATTGCTAACTCCACCAAGTAACATTTCTGTGACCTTCCCATGGCCAATTTTTCTATGAAGAAAGGTCTTTCCAGTGGAAGCATTACCAATCTGGGGTCCCTCATATCTCAGATGTATGAAAATGACTAGTCCCTTTGAAATTATTCTTGCTTCATCACATATCACATAACCTTCAAAAATTTTCGTCAAGAATAGCTCCCACACAACGGAAAACGGATCATTCGGACTATTCACATCTTTCCTGGGTTTGCCATTCAGCAGATATGTACATCAGGCATATTGTTTGTATTCAAGCCACGACAACGATGATGACATGCTTAGTGAAATAAGAAAGGAATAACAATTTCAGATTATCAAGCACAGTAGGATATCGATCATCTGAGTGAAAGTTTTCCTAGCCCTTTTGCAGCACCATCTCGCGGTCACTGAAATCACGTAGATTCCCTATTCCGAAACCTCGACCCCTGAACCTCGTTCAACGTTCGCATATCACGTTTCTCAAGCATTTGCTCCAAGTGGAGCTCTTTCGCAGCCATCTGGCTTCTGTCAACATGCACGACCACTACACAAAAAGTGTCATGGATAAGCGCAACGTAATAGTTCACAGCAGACGTCTGCAGTGAATAAACGAAACTCTTTTTCTGAAAGACTCCACTCCGTAGTAAACACGTCGGCGGGACACAAAATCTGTCATAGTCATTGAAAAAGAGCAACAACTGATTTACGGCTTTCAGTACTGCAATATCGATAAAGGAAAATGACACGCCAGAATATTCGCTCGGTTGAAACCCAATAATTCACCTCTACTATCGTTGAATACCCCTCCATAAGGAACCACCCATATGGGCGATCCATATTTTACGAAAATGACTAATGTATTCCTGAACTGACAAACTTCTCCAGAGAATGGCAATTCTTTATGGTTCAAAACCGGCGTACTGGAAAGACGATGACAAGGGTCACCAAGCAAAACCTGAAATCACGACGAACGACAACGCACCCAAAAGTGCACTGCACTGCCAATTGCAGTCGTGAATGCATTTGGTTATGTTCGCATTTCTCATTGTTCCACTCCTTCCTTGAATGATCGTACTCAGTCTTGGAGGCGAGCAGGATGCCTCAGACAAGGAACTTGCTCCTTGAGCGCTCATTTGGTAAACTCAAATTGTACTTTTTGTTGTGCGTTAGGAAACGGCGCGACGTTGGTCACAAATAGTAACGGCCTTCGTCGACTCACCCTCGCGCAATTCCTGTTGTTTCCGTTTAACTGCTATCACGAGATTTATGACTGACATCTACGTACGATGGTGAGCATACGTTAACTATCAATTTCGCTCCTCGAAACGATTCCAATCCAGTTGAAACTAGTCGATACGAAATCATAAGCTTCATCAAAAACTCAGCTGGCAGCTACCATGAGCACCACAGAGTAATTCATATCTCGTTGATGGGCTCCTCAGTAATACACCGCACCATCCTCTTATTCTTCCATAAAATTTTGTTTCGCACTCTCGCACATTACATCCGGAAGTACGATTCGTGCATGGGAACTGGTTGAAAATTTTTCGTAGGCAATCATAAAATCAGAAGTTTGAAGGACCCACTTAAATCATGTATAAGTTGGCAGTGCAAAATCCTTGAGAATAGGGCTCCTCACTCACCCAGGCATACATAGCACCTGTCGTCATGAGTTTTACTACACTGCACTCTTCACCGCGGCTTTTTTCAGGGTCAGACTGATGACTCACAGAGAGTTTCGATTGGGGCGCTGCTAACGCGCCCAGAGCAGCGTCGCAGCTGTTCTTGTGGCCAGCCGACCATCTTTCAACCGATCATTCTGTCATATCTATTACCAACGTCATTCTTTTCGAGTTTTTCATTCCACTCTATGCATCCGGGAAATAAGACCAGGATTAGGGGTTCCGATGTGGGAGAGTAGTGATCTCTACTGATGCAATCTTCGTGATCGGCTGAACTCCATGCAATAATTGGAGTTCCTTCGGCCTTACTAGTCAAGCGACTTGTTTGTTTTCCTAGTAGGAGGTCCGTGAATCATACTTTTTCTGTTCGTGACAGCCTCCGAAATGTTTTCCGCGCTTTTGTACAAAAAATGCTCTCGCACGCGTACTTCTTTCATTCAAAGCTTCATGATTTATCGTTAGACTCTGAATATTTGAGGAATCCTGAGGAAGGTCGCACTTGCTCGAATCCCTTAATTTCATTCCGCAAATTTTCTCCTAAAACTGGCAGAAATCTTGTTTTTCTCCGCAAAATATGGAAACTCCCCTTCCAATAATGGACGATCCCAAAAAAAAAGAAGTTAATTCGGAAAACCGTTAAATAAACAAAGCTTTTGTCGGCTAGCGTTGCTCCATATCTACTTACGATTGCTGTTATCTCATTG